TAGAACATAACACAGTTTTCAACTCGTATTAGAATATAGCACTCATTTGGACTCGTAACGAGTTCAAAACAGCTTCCCACTGTAATAGAAGACATTAGTATTTTTCATCTCGTAACGAGTTTAAAGACTGCCACCCGTGTGACCACTAGTCGTATATCGCTTAGACATGCAACAGCTTTTTAACAGTTTTTTTTCGTGTTTTTCAAACACTGGTTTGTATTTTCGCAACAACGAACTGTGAAATTTTCTGAAATCTGCAGTTTCGTAGAGCAAACATTTCTCTACAAGATGGCGTATAGTCGATATTCTTAAAGTTGCTTAGTTTCCTTGAAAAACGTTTTTGATGACCCAGCCGTTAAACAAATCATTTTTTAAAAAACAGGACAAAAAAACTGTTGCATGCGCAGTATCGTTCGATTGCAGACGAAATGTATCTACATTTTGCTCATAGATGATGTTTGTTTCGGATTATTTCTAGATTCCTATTCATCAAAGTTACACAATCTTATATTAAAACATAATCAATATGATATGTCAATATTTCTTAGTAATCAATTATTTTCTGGTGTTAAAAATATTGATGGTTTACTCGATTTACGATTATTAACATTTTATATGGATGATGAACAAAAATCGAACAAATTGTTTATTTTATGTATTTCCATAAAATACCATATAATCCAGTTGATTTTAATATTAATTTTCGTTAAATAGATGAATTTTATGTAGTATAAGTATGACATCACCAACAATAGATATGAATCAAATTGATAATAGTAATTATACATTTATTGAAGATCGATTAGAAAAATTATTACAATTAGCAAAAAATATTAATTAAAGTTCAAATCTTATTAAATCATATTCAAATATTACATTATTAGAAAGTGATCTTAGTTTTGATATAAATGGTTTTACGCTTAATATTAAAGAAAATTCAATTGATTTCAATTGATTTTAAGAAGATAAAAATTTTATTTGAATTATGTCAATTAAATATTTATGGAAATTATTTTAAATAAATAAATTTATCTTGACAGATAAAACTTGAATATCTTGATTGTTCTAAACAATTTAATAAATCATTGATACGATTAATATTAAGTTTAGATATGATTGATATTGAATATTTAATTTTTACACATAATCAATTGACTGATATTGAACAATTTGATATTCAACAATGACAGTTAAAATATTTAGATTTATCATTTAATCAATTTAATGATACATTTCTAATTCCATTTTTAATTAATATTAAAAGTAAACATATACAAAACAATACGCTTAACATCAAATTTTTTAACAAAATTAACTACAAATATGTTTAATAGACATTTAGTTAAGCTTTATGATTTAAATTTATCAAATAATCTAATTGAAACAATTGGATCAATGTCTATACAATCATCAAATATAGAAATAATAGATTTAACAAATAATCCATTAAAATTTATAGAAATAAATTCTATTTTACCAAAAATTAAATTCATATTTATTTCACAAGAAATATATTAAAACAACAACAAAAATGTTCATCGAATATAATGAACTTTTGTACAATTTGGTATAGTACAAATGGAACATATATTCAAAATCATCATTATATAATCAGTCCATTATTAACAATGAATAAAAGACAACAAAATAAATTTTTAACATATCAAAAACGTTATATACATAGTCAGTCAAAATTTTCAATTGGAAAACGATCGTATCACGGTGTAGGATGGTTCATTATTCTATTTGTATTATTACTTGTTGTAACTTTTTGAGTATCATTATGTTAGTTAAAAATTAGGGATCGAGCGCGCGTTTCGGTTTTAAATGACTTAGTTCGCTCTCATTTCACAATACGTTACAACAAAAGGATCGCCTGAATTCGTCGAAAATTCTTGCAAAATCGTTTCTAGCTCTTGTTGTACTTATTTAGTTTAGCGCAAAATCTATTCTACCGATAAACCAAAGTGATTTTTATAATGCTGATAACCACTACATCGTAGTACAACCCATTTTAGTGCAACCAATTCTGGCGTGATATCCGCGATAAGTTATACTGTGATAGATGGCGCTGCAGCTAAGTTTAGCACATTACCAGCACAATCATCGTCAACCGAATCACCTATAAATCCATAATCAAAGCTGACCTTTGGAACAAATAAAACATCTATAAATATTCCACCTCAATTTCATCCCCTCTAAATGAAACTACACATTGATTAAACCAAACATCAGTTGATTTACGCATAAATGGCTGGAAAATATAGAAATACAGTTTGATACGGCTGATATACCAGGTCATACTAAATAACATGAATCACTAAGTCCATTGCATGTAAGTCGAATGAATGTACTGTCGAGAATATTAATCATTCTGTTTCAACTCTGTTCCACTTAAATTAATGTGATGTGCATGTACTAGATCAAACTGAAAAATGAATAAAAAAGCTCTGTCTTTATTCATTCTAGTCACTGAAAAAAGCCTGTGAAAATCACTCATAGATCTTTGCACGTTACAGCATATAAAGAAAAGTCGGTGAGTGATTTTTCACGTCTTTTTCTAGCTGATTCTGAAGAAAGTGCGCGGTTTTTCCGATACGAACTTTACTTTTTACTGTACTTTGTTTACGGACTTTTCTCCGAAACGAATTTACAGTGTGGTAGTTGCGAGAAAAGCGGTGGATGCTACAAAAAGGAAAAAAGGAAAGGAAAACGTCCATTAGATGGTAAATTTTTAGTTACGGATACACCTGAAAAGTATGAAATTCAAATAACTTTGAAAACTATCGTGATATTCAAGGAATATATTCCATCTGACGAAAGGTTAAACTTCTTTTAGTTCAAAACGCATTTAAATAAGAGCGCTAGATGGCGAATGAAGACAGTTAAAAAGAGATGAAACTGAGAGTAATTTTTGAAATTTTTTTCTGTTTAATTCTTGAGGAAAATTTATCTTAATCAGGCAAATTCATATCGAAAAAGGCAGTACTCAATAGAATTCAACTTGACTGGGCAAACGAAAAGAATACATTCATCGAAGGATAAGTTTAAATATGTTCACCGCATGATTTTTCCAGATTGATTCACATTGTTTGTGTTTCATTAGTTCTTGTTGGGTAGCATACCTGCCAGCTTGTAAGTCCAAATCTTTGCAAAATGAATCTCGGCGAAACAAAAAGAGAGTTGCACACATGAGAACCAAAAATAGATTTGAGAGAAAAAGACACCGGTCAATAAAAAATACATCGACACAAGCTAACATAAAGAACATGACAAACAAAAACAAGATGCTTAAAACTATTATTAAAACTATTCATTCTCTTGATGGCACCAATGTTCACGCAAAAAGTTTGTATATAAAATGTTTAA